TGGAGGCAGTGGGTGTAACAGTAAATATTGTACCTGTCACCCAACAGTTTACATCTTCAAATCACTCAAATCAATCTGGCACCCATAAAGTTTGTCTGGTTATCCCAGCTTATGTTTAGTGTTGATGGTTGTTAGCTTAAGTATTTAAGAGCAAGGACCAAATTACTCCTCAGCTACTCATTCACTTATTCAATAAAGTCCTTGAGTTTCAAGTGTTTCTCAAAGTATTTCTTTTCCACAATTTTCTGTAAGAAAGTCAAGATTGTTGGAAACTGTCTGTAGGCATGTTGGCAGAGTGTCAATGTCGAGTCTGTCCAGCACTTTGGCGCAGACTGAAATATGTCAGCAACTGTTTTGCGGATTACAGACATTGTACTAAGACTGATGTTGCCCAGAGGATGACTCCTAATGACTCTGCTGATCATCTGACATCCCTCTTGCACCACCATGTGACTGACATTTGTGGTTTTCAGTTACATTTCACAACAGCTACTGAGTGGATTTCTTTAAATTGTGATTCAGGCATTCATGATGAATGGTTATCACTTTGTTGATTCCTCAACTTATCATTTAAATTGTTTTTAAGCATATACCAGCAAAACTAATGGCATTCCTATTACTGTGTGTTTAGTGCACACAAGTAGCACATTTTAACATACTAAATAAAGTAAGTTGGTGGTAAACAACATTATTAGCATGAGCATGTTGGGTTGCAGACTAATATTTTTCTGTTTAGAAGCTTCAGAATTTTTTCAAGTTATGCAGGCAATAGCAGGTAAAACATTTTCTTGTTTTGGCACATTTTATATCACTGGTATGAAATAATACATACTGCTGATGACAATGTGATTTTGCAACATAAATGTGATATAGTCTATGGGCGAGAACAGCATTTTCTTTGATACTGTAATGAAAACACGCCTGAAGCAGCTGATGATGAGGATTATATTTTTGTGCCAAATGGTCAGTCAGATATTTCAGAAAAAGTAATAGATTTTGACAGAGCTAGCACAGAGGTCATGTGCTTGACAACAAAATAACAGACTGTTGCACTGACCACAGGACAGAGAGCGACTGGCGGTTACTGCACTGACTAGTTTGTGTTTGCTAAGTGCCATTCAATATGAACATAAACATAGAATATAATAGGCTACATTGAGAGATATGCAGTAATTAATTGTTGGGGTGGGGGTCATTATTATTAACAGTATGTTAAGCACCTTTATTCCATTTGTGTTAAACAAGTAATAGAACTCAGCACATGTAAATAATAAATGAAAAGAAATGTCATTTTTCATTTTCTCTTCTGCACCAGAAACAACCATGGCACTTCAACACCTCAGCATATACTGAGCTGTGAACTTGTGCCTTTAACACCTGTTTTTTATAAATGCTTGGGGTTTCTGGCTAAGAAGAGAAACAGCTGTTGTAGTCATGAGAGAGGGAAAGTTGGCTAATTAATTAAGCTATGGGCCACAGATCTTCATTTTTGCATTTAAGTGTTGTGACCACAAACCATAGCCCTTGTGCAGAACTGGCCGTAAGACTTCAATTAAACATGCTCTTTAAACAAATATCTACAAGCTTAGAGGAGCTCTTGCTTGTGAATAATTTATAGCCTGAAAGAGGAAATAAATGGGAAATACTGAAATATGTAAAACTTATTTGTAGCTGTAAGCAAACAGAAATAATTAAGTATATGTATATATTTTCTTTTCAAGGCTAGCCAAAGAAATGACACAAATAGTTTGCTATAATTTACAATATAGCACCGACTGAACAAGCTTGGAGCCATTAAAGCAAAAGAAATACGCTTTGATGGCTATAAAAGAAGTTTCTAGTGTTTTACAGAGTAGTCAGTCATTGTTACAATAGAATGGGTAACAGCATCACGACAAAATGGGTTTGCTGAGCTCCAGATGTGTAGAAGCCCCAGGCTGAGGCTGCACGCCACTTCCCATTGGCACTGCAGTGAAGCAGCGATGACACTAGTGAAAGCATGGTTGAGAGGAGGTCTAGTGGAGGTGGGGCGGAAGATGTACATCAAAATAATGTGTCTCTGGGGTACATTATATAAGGCTGTTAAATTGTCAGTGTCCAAAACAGTACATAGAGGATACAACCTTTGTTTGTGACAGCTGAACATCTATTTTTCTTGTCTGTTTTATTGTGAGCTTTGCCAGGGAGTGGTTTCTTTATTTGGAATGCATAAGAAAGACGTCCTGATCCTGTAACCCCACTAAAGCTCCTGAAAGGGGGACATGAAGGATTTAAATGGTATTTTCCCCTCTGAAAAAAAAAGGAAACTATAGGTATGCTCCACATATTCAAAGAAAACTGAGATTCAATGTGCTGTAATTGAAATTATATTCATTTTGAAAAGGTGCATGTTTAAGAGACACCAGCAGCGCTGAGGAGGGACGGTACTTATAGATGCTATAGAGGTCTATAGTAGGTAACAACGTGAAGAAAGACGAAGAGAATGAAATGGATTATCACACAGAGTAAAGTATTTATGACATACTGTAAGTCTGAATAAATTTTAGTATACAGTGGATACTTACAAGCAAGTTACTTCTGTGTGTAACCCCGGTTCTGCTTCTCTGCATATCTTATCTCATTATGTGTGTGCACTTGCAGCTACACATTTTACAGCAACCATGAGGTAAGAGATTATCTGCACAGTGTTGAGAATGGATGACCTTTTGGTTATAGCTTGACTTTGCAAATACAACTGTCTGTGGGAGTGAGGTCATAAGGGAGCAAGGCCACCTCAGGCAGCCACTATCCACTCTTTGTCGTACTCTCTGCTAACACCTCCGAATGATGCACTACATCACCACTGGCACTGTTTCTTCCAATGGATACAGACTGCTGCTCTACACATTCAACACAACTGTTGTTCTTTCTTCAGTGAAGCGTATATTTTAGTATTTACCAAATATCCAAGACTTGATTTTTACTCCTGAAAAAGCGTTATTTACACACCTGCGGAGTACTTTGTTAGTGTACTTTTTAAAATCAGTTGAAGTAGGAGTTTATTTTTCATTTAGCAAGTCAGTGTGTCTGACAAGAAAATTCACCTCTATGGCTTCCTCTAGACATATTCAGAGGTTGAGAAATGCATGACCCCAAAAGCAACATCTCTGCCCGGCACTTTACGGATGCATGACAAATACAATCTGTTTTCTTTTGTGCACTGTTCACGCTCTTTGCACCAAGTAAATACAGGACCTTATGAATTATACCACGGAGAGTAACACTGCCTGTACCGGGAAAGCAGAGAACAGCCCTAAGCATATCTGAGAGAGTGGCAGGCAGCAATCTGTAAGTAGAGATGCAGGGTGGAAAGGCGGCTGCCTTGTCCGAATCACTGAGCATACATCAACACCTGCTCATGGGTCATTCAGCTAATGGACACACAGTCTTTGCAGTAAGCCTTCAATATGTCGGTGCATGAATGGGACTGTTGCTTATATGCTGTCAAAAGAAATATTGCAAACACATTTGTAGTGAACAACACTGTGCTGCTGATAATGTAATCTTCCTGCCTTGTATGATTTTATTGGCAACTAACAATTTACGTATCTAGACTTTGTGTGTGTTGAAAGGATGCAAGGCTCAGGTCACAATTTAGCTGTTCCCAAAGTCACTACACATGATTGACTTGTGGTTTTCTAAACAACGTCTCCCCATAGCTCTAAATATCTATTGGCACGGACACAAATGATCTCTCACCCTCTGTAATCTCGATTTCCTCTGGCAATACCAGTCACTGTGAACTTGTGGCATTTCACTGCTTTTAATGATTGGCCCAGTGGTCTGCAACCAATGGCCTTCTTGCCACCAATTCATGACCCGTCAACCCCAATCTTCCCACCAATCCTACAGGCACACAACACACAGCGGAGAACAAATGTCCCAGTGTCAGAATCAATCCAAACAGGCGTCCCATCCTCCTCTCATAAAACTGGCATCTCATTTATCCAGAAGTGAGGACTAGCCATGCTATGGTAAATGGAATGACAGGGCATTTACACATTCAGTAGCGGATGGTCCTGAAGGATTCAAATTGTTTGCTTTGAACTTGTTTTCTCCAAAGAGGCACCTGAATGCACACTTGAAATATTAATTCCATTTCCCTTTTGGTAACATGAGCCCACTTTCTAGAACATATCCCATTTGTGTCTTTTCCCTTTTTTCCACATTATTTTTCCTCCAATGCACATGTGCAAATGTGAGTAATAAAATGAAGGTTGATGGAACAGGAAGTCTTCTGGCTCACAATATTGAGAGTATTGAAAAGAGCCCTTGCTGATATGCTTGAGGTGCACTGGGGCATGAAGAAAATAACAGACATCAAGGACCTGCATGTTCATGTAGTCACTTCTCCGTTTGAAGGTCTGACAGCATTCGTCTTCTTCTCCTCTTTGGATCATAATTATTTGCCATAACCACTGCTCTCATCTGCCTGATGAAAACAAAAGTCCGACTACAATGTTGTGGTCAGATTCAATTCAGTGAAATTTCACAGGGAGCACAATTGCACAGATCAAATTGAGGGGGAGCAGTGTAGCATGAATATCAACTATGACGGCTCAGCGAGGAAAGTGCAAAGACATTCATTGTCTATCTGTGTGATCTTCAGCACAGAAATTCACATGCTATCAAGGCCAAGTCTTAATGAAAAACATCCACAGTACAGTGTGTGTGCTAAATAATAGGTTGTTTGTCCAAACTGAGCAGCTAATATATTAATAAATGTAATGACTTAATAAAACTGAGATGGAAATATGAACCCAGAGCAAAATAAAGTGTTTTTTTCTCCAAGCTTATGACAGTCTAATTATACACACAAGCTATCAAACCCAGCATGCTACAGCAACAATACTCAAGGGGCAACAGTAGCAACTGACAAGACAACAATTTTAAGCTTAATGTGATGCTTTTAAAAAAATCCGTAATAACCAGCCCAGGAGAGACAGAACCGCAGGACTCACCGATCATGTGGATTGTGGTTCGTCCAGGCCTTGTGCCATGATGCTGTTGGATGGTGTCATAAAAAGTGCCCTGACACAGCTGAATGGCAGTCACACTGACCCAGAGGCACAAGCAGAGCAGCCAGGACATGACAGGACACATCTGCAAAGTACCGGCAAAGGCGGAGTCAATGCAAAATACATCCTGTTCTCAACCTATGCCCTCGGTTACCCCTGAACAAACACACACACTTCAGTGAGTCTGGAGTCATAAACAAAACAATTTAATCTATAAGTAGCCTTACCGCCCAAAGTGGAGTCATTTAGCCATCAGAATTTCTCATTAGCATGATTACATAAGTATGACTTCTTCACAGTTTTGTCTTCCTAGTTTGCCCTGTCTCTTCTCTGAGCCACAGTGCTGCAAATGTGGAGTGATCCCTGGGGAGTTTTTCCCATGCAGCATAGATTTCCCCTGACAGGCTGATTCCCTTCAACTCCTGAGCTGTGCTCGTGCCTGAAAACCAAAATCGAACTTAAAGAAAGACAAGATTTTGCAAGCAGCTCGCTGCTGAAGTTTCTCTGTATCTGTCAGAATAATGTCACAGTGACCCAGCGTAGGAATAAAATGCTTTATAATGTTTCACCATGCTGTTTAGATTTTAAAATAGAACAACAGCTAGGAATGTTCCTGGTCATAAGGGAAAGAAATCTGTGAAGGAGAAAATACAAATGTTTCAACCCTAAAATTTCTCCACAACAGTTTCATTAACAGCAGCAAATTCCCAAAAGACACTGGATTATTAATTATGTTTTTAAATACATTAATTTATACCATAACCTCATACAGTTCTTAAAAGAAACATTTGGATTTCATTTTCATGTCGCATAATTTTCAACTGCATCAAAAGCTTCCATGCAAAACATTTATTGGACTTTAATTAGTACTCTAAGGACCATGCATGTATGCACATATAAAGTACATTCCCCAGATGCTACTTATGCAAAATATTCAGTTCTTGCATATATTTGTGCTTTTACACCTCTAAAGTTGCAAAAAGTTCAGAAAAAACATCATTATTATAAGTAATCTTAAAATGATCTGCAATTCTTAGTATGATCAATAAAGAAATTATATCATGGAATGAGATGAAAGGATATCTCAGTACATTTATTTTTATGTATACAAATTTCACATTTTAAATTGAAATCCCAGCTGATTTTACTGGCAAATGTATGATTTGCCAGTTTTATGCAAAAAGCTGAATCTCCTAACAAAGACATGATTTATTTTTTTACCCAGATTAGAAAGAAGAACATCTTACCTGAGCAACCCACCAAAACGTGTATACAAATCTCAACAAAATGACACAAATCCATCCATAATGCTGCTCACGTTGATCCCATCCAGTAACTTGATGGGAGAACTCCACTGACTCTGCCTCCCTGCTCCACACTTTGATAACAACAGTCCAGTGATTCAGAAATGACCGTCAAGCCAGAGTCAGGAAATAGATTTACAGCTCTTTTGATTCCACCTTGAAAATATCACTGCTTTCCCTTGAGGAGCTGCTCCCACTGACACCGAATTCATTTGCCCCTTCGCTTTTATAGGCACGTGCAGAGCGCTCCTTAATTAACTGTAGTGGAATCTCTTCTTTCACCGTCTGCATCCTTCCAGTGAGAGGCAGCCTATGAGCAGCGGTTCTCGCTGAGTCCCCCCTCAGCGAGCACTAAGAAACAAATGTTCTCGTACAGCCTGGCTGAGTGTAAAGACTGTATCACATGTCTTAAAGCCAGACTGCCTCTGGTTTAGATGACATGGTGAGACTCCACCTGATCGTGTTCCTGACAAATGCAAATCAGGGAACCTGGCACAACTCATGACCACACAATTACCACTTATTTACATTTAGAATAGAGTTGTTTTTCTCCAGCGGCAACATTTCCTTTTATTCCTTTCCTTTATTTGTTGTCAGTTTCTCCTCTGCCCTACATTTAAATAGAGAAGAACATGCTTAATATTTTTAAGTGATTAAAAGTTAATCCAGACACTTAGCAATGAAGCCGTGATGTTATCTCACTAAATACAAGCATGGGAGGAGAGAAATAAATACACCCCGAGTCCTCAGCCGACCTTGGTGTTGTAAAAGGAGGGTGCATAAAATAGATTAGGAAAGAACAAGCTTTCACAGGCTGAGCAGAAAGGAACATTGAAAGCGGATTGTGTTGAGAAATCATAATGTCCATTCAGTCTAAGGTAATCTTCACCTGCAGTGGGGAGTTCTTCAATCTATGATAGTGAACATAGCAAAGCAGGGGAGGCAAATGCTGTTATTTGGATTAAATCAGCACCAATCGGTATTTGTGTGAAAACAGCCCGATCCTCCCTGTTCCACATTCACCTTCACTTCATGGTGAGCTTTACTTTTTGCACTGTGTCTGGATTTTTTTTTTTCTGCTATTGCTGCCATGCAGAACATGCTCAGTGCCTGCAGCTCACATTGCCATCTCTATGGCATAAAGATATAATATTTTATTTTGATGCTTTCTCAAGAAGGCAGGGTGCAGTCCCAGTTTGGGAAGGAATGAGGAATATACAGGGTGAGAAGAACAGCAAGAAACTGCTTAAGATGTAGGCACACAACAACACATCATTCATGTCTGAGGCTTTGGCAGAGTTAACTTTGTGCAGAGGGGATTTGGGACATAGGAGGAAACCAAATAGCATAAACTGCTGACATGTTTTGATCGGAGCAATAGTTTCCAGAGATGGGGCAGCCATTAAATGTTCAGATTTTCCCATGTTGATGCTGTACTTTATCCTTAAGGACTGAACTTTAACCAAACTATCTATTTCACAGAGAGTTTGTTCAGAAATCTCAAACGCTGACCCCTGAAATTATTATTGATTTGTATTCCTATGATACACAGGAAAACTTTGCTGTCCAACTTAAAGAGTTACTTAACCATAGAAAAACTGTTGTTTTTTTTTTGCTACTTTCTCTGATTGAAAGTTTGAAGATTGTTTCATCTCTGACCATAACCAACAATACTGGCACCAAGGCGTTTTATTATTATAAGCAGGAAGTTTCGAGGTTTGAACCCTGTGGCTGACCGAAGCCTTTCTGTGGGGGTTTAGATGTTCTCCTTGTCCTGTGTGGGTTTTCTCCAGATCCTCCTCTCACAGTTCAGACAGTTCTAAATTGGTGTGAATGTGAGTGTGAGCGGTTTTCTGTCTATGTCTGCCCTGTCAACCCTTTACAGGATAAGCAGTATAGATAATAGATGAGTGGGTGAGTGGTCAGCTAATATTGATGTACAGAGAGTCCAGTATTTATTGTATTTGTATTTGTTGAGGCAGAAAAATTATTTGTATCTGCATTCGAATGAAAAGGAAAGTAGGTGTAACAATTCACTTTTTGTTTTCATCAAACTTATCATAGGATATTAAAACATTAATCTAAGGTCAAGTTACAGGGCTAACAGATGAACATTAGCCTAATCTCCTCTTGGTCAAACAAGCACTGAAATGTCAGCGTCTTCTAAGATGAAATAATGGTGCAGCAACTTGGCTAGAATATCCATAAATAGAGCATTGTTTCTCCAGTGTGACATGTGCAGCATGTGACACAGGTTGACTGAGCAGCAAGCGCAGCGTGTAGGTGAGCTAGTGACTGTACTGCCAGAGCTAACATAGACTAATCTCCTGCACTTCATATATTGCAGGTCCACCAGGTAACCAAAAGATACGTTATAATAAACTTCCTAAGCAAACCAGTTAAGTAACATAAAAAAACAACAACAAAAAAAGGGATGTAGCAATCTACTACGTTTTGAGTAAGTGCCTGCTCTGCTCCTACAGTCTGCTCGCTCTCCATCCTCCACCATCACGTGGAGCACAAATGCCGTGATCACAGTTATGAGGAACACCAGCTATCTGATGCTTTTGAATTCCCCAAAACAAAACATTTAAAAAAATATTTGTACAAAATAAATATTCATAAAAACCTACTACTTGTGCTTCGCTGAGTACTGTATTCAGATTTGGCTCTACCCCTAGTGGCTGATGTGCTTTGTCATGATTTCTGATTGCATCATAAATAATTTGATAATGTATTTGAAAATGATGTACAGCATTGTAAAACACAAGAGAGCTCATAACTATAAATATGAAATGTTAATGACTATAATTCTGCAACTAGCATTCCAACCTAAGCAATATTGCTTGTCCCTACCTCTGAACACGACCCACAAAACTGTTTCACATCTTGGTAACCATAACCCATGACTGTCCCACTTTGTCCTCATGGAAATGGTTATAAACACACAGTTATTGTTATGGATGCATACTCTTCCATTAAACACTTGGTTTGGTAATAGTAAAATCCAGTTTTCATGTCTTTAGAGGACAAGTCTGGTGTTATTCTCCATTTCTCACTGTCAGGAAACAAAATCTATTGAAAAGACCAAAACTAGAAGTGCATTAGTCCATCTGCCAATACTATCTGACTTTTCCAGCCTGCTGTGGCTCTCACCTCCAAACTCAGTGGCTCCTACTAACAACAGAAATCTTTAAAAACTGGTCACAGTATGGCTTTATTTTTTAAAAGTTCAGTAACTTCTTTGAACACACAGGCACAGTAGTTTTAACAAATGTTACTAGAACAGCAGTAAATAGCGTATGTTGAAGGGGGACTATTTTCTGTGGCGGATTAATGCCACTGCTGCTTTTGTGAGCATTTACAAATTCAGGACAGTGTACGTGAGAGCGACTCAAAAATAAACCAGTGTCTGTGTTCATCATAATAAAGGAACAGGTCATGCAGTGTAACAGTTTGACTCACTGACAACAACAGAGCTCAGTCAATACTGCTTCATTTGTTTTGTTGAATTGTTTGAAGAAGACAATTCTGAACAGACAAATGATTCCACTGAACCCTGACTTCACATGAACAGCACAAGCAAGTTTTACAAAACTGGCTCTGAACCAGCAAATGCAAAAGTGAGATGGACTGCCATAATGCTTTTTTCTAATATTGTCTTACTTTCATATCTAAAAATGTGTTAACATTTGAGAATTTTTCAGAGATGTAAGTTTCAGGGACTCACAGTTGTGTAGCTTATAATAAAAGGTAAACTTTATTGTGAAACTCTTCAGTTGCCAAAAACAACCCCCAAAGCCCCTGAATGTATATCTATTATATTTGCAGCACAACAAACCAATCAAAAAGAATTTTCCCTGACCTGCACACCACCAGTTTCTGTCTGAAGAAGGTTCATGCACTAGTGATTCAATTGACTCCTCCCTGAATGGCTCTGACGGCTGCTGAAAAATAACTCTGGAGAGAAGATGATTTTTTTTAAGAATGTTCACAAAAGTTGTCTCCTAAATCAAAACTGGTCAGTACAGATGTGTTCAGGAAGCAGACAGCCCATATGTTCCCACAGGCTTTGGGCCTGAATGTTACATACTTACAGCGATAGGTTTCTTAGGGAGCTTTCCAAAATGTGCCTTTTTTTCTGTGCAGAAAAACAACATAAAATTGTGTATTTACAAATAATGGTAGCAATATGGGTCCACTCTTAACGCCTGTCCGACTCCATGTCAAATTTACTTTCCAAATGGCATCCCTACAAGATAAGGCGTTGGTTGCTACTCTGTGCTGAGGGTGGCTAAACAGCGTACAAATGTCAATAAATCCTTGTGTTTTGCTCAGGGTGGGAGAGCCGGAGATGTCTCAGGAAGAACTATGGAGCACTTTTCTATTTAGCTTCCCCCTCAGCTGTGCCTGCGCTTGTCAGAACAAGAATCGCTAAAGGTTCAGCTGCCCTATAAACAAAAAATGTGACATTTTAAGACGATATTACTGCTGATTACAGTGACACTATGCCCAGGGGGCTGATTTCTATCGGACACAGAGAACATGTCATACTGTAGATCATATCATGCATCACCATGCAATGCTTTTTGAACAATAATCAAGAGGGTCTCTTGTAGATAAAAGTCACATATTTCTACAGGCACTCCTGCTATAACATCACAAAATCCTCACATGCACTCTCTATTCAGGCTGTTTGTGACACAAGAAAGACAAGTGGTGTGAAAGCTGTTTCAAAGCTTCAATAAAGGAATAAGATATTATATTGCTGTTGGTTCAACAACTCACATATCTTTTCTCTGACATCAATAAATCACTGCCAGTAAATTATGTCTAGTGAAATAGTGACGGATGCCTTTTCAAGTGATTCATTTGCAATTTCATGGAGTGTTTTTGTTTTCTAAAGCATCCTCTGCTCCTTCATGGAAAGGTCAATGGGAAATGGTCGGTGTCTGCTTCATCTGCATGAGCCAACTCTCAAGTTCAGCCAAGTAAGAAATAAGATTATCTTTATTGAAGGCAGTGTGAGAATCTGGCCTCTGAATTTTATTCAGTAGAGTATTAATGTCTTAGTGGGTAGAATCAGCCCAAACTGCTATTAAAATAACTGAAGTCTTGAGCCGGATGTTTTTCAATTCACTGCGCTTCTCATGTTTAATGGAAATTGAGTGTCTCACCTTTTACATCAGTTGATCTTAACATTTAATAGATTCTTTTAAGGATATTCATCTTTTCCATTATATCTTTGTTGTGGATAAGAGAGAGGCAGATTTCTCTCAGGCGCAACAACTCATTAACTTCCTAGACACAAACCTTTCTACACCTGAGGTGTGATATGAG